CACCAGGCCTGGCTAATTTTTGTATTTTTCATAGAAATAGGGTTTCTCCATGTTGGCCAGGCTGGTCTCAAACTCCTGACCTCAAGCAGTCCACCTGCCTCAGTCTCCCAAACTGCTGGAATTACAGATGTGAGTCACAACGCTTGGCCTTGTCTCCTTTATCTTACTAATATATCTGCAGTAAATACACACACACACACACACACACACACACACACACACACACACACACTGATTATAATTATCAATATAGTGGACCAGCATGATGTTCTGTGAGATGATGATAAAAACAAACTCCGTGACAGCAGAATCGTAGAGTGGCTGTGGTCCTGAAGCAAGAAGGAAGGTGGACTACAGTATTCCCCAGGTGAAAGTAAGCTGCTTCTGATCCTTTCTGCCTGTGGGGTTTCTTGCCCAGGGCCACAGAGAATGCAGTGAAACAAAGCTCGGTCAGTCTGATAGCAAAGCTCACGTTCTTTGCTCTGCAGATATCTGAGTGTTGAGAGATGGTGGTGCAAGCTCCCGCATCATATGCACTTTGTAACTTTTACCATTTTCTGTACAGTGTAATATATTTAAGTGTCTGGAGTTCAAAACTCATTCAGGTTTGAAGGGCAGCTTGTTAAAGGTTTACATGATACGTTAGTGGTGTGGGGGGGAGGGAATAATTTGCTAAATGAATGGCTGCTTAGCAGATGCTGGGGGTGGTACTGATTTGCTTCTTTGATGAGACTACATTGGGTGGGGGAGATAGCAACTATTGATTAATCTCACGATGGTATTCTATCAGTCCCCAAAACCCATCGGTCTTCTGAACACTTCAACCAAATAATTTAAATTGAGTTATTCTAGCCATTGCAGGTTCCCTGGAAAGGAAACTCTGAGATGAAGGTTAGCATGCAGGAAGTTTATTGGGAAGTGTTCTGGGATCGATACCTTTGGTGTTTCTGTCACTGATGTGGTTCTCAGTGCTATGTGAATGCAGTATCTTATGGGTCCTATCTCAGGGAGAATGAGTGGTTCACCTCTGATAAACTCACTCCAGTACTCCCCTTTCTCTGAGCCTTTAGACTGACTTCTATACATTATAATAAAGAATTTCTGGCATCTCTACTTCATTTAATGCATTCATGTCAACAACTGAATGTGACCTAGAATTATGCTTGCACTTCCTTGGTCTAACACTCTCAGAATTCATTGTTTTCTATACATATTCTTAGGATATTGCTTATATAAGTTAGCAAAATTCTGCAGTTATTTTTCTATGTAACTCTTCCTCTTCTGAGTTTCACTTTCATATTGCTGTCTAGAACTTGGTAGAATCTAAATCTGTCTACAAACAATGTGTTTGTTGAGATGGAGCACGGTAAGAATTGGGTTTATGCTTGCAATGTAAACACCTCAGTAAAAGTGATATAGCTGGGCATAAAAAAAGATAAACCGTGCTAAGAGGAGTCAAAAGAAAGCAAGATCAGCCATATTAATACCAGATAAAGTGGAATTCAGCGCAAGGAGGGTCTAAAGAGACACACGGCGTAGTGCTAAAGAAGGTGTCATAATCCTAAACAAGGATTTACCTTTAAAACAGCTTCAAAATACAGGAAACAAAGCCAGATAGAACTAAACAGAGAAACAGATAAACTCCTAGTTATGGTTGGAGATTTCGACACTCCTCTCTTAGCAGTTGATAGGACAAGTAGAGAGAAAATCAGTAAGGATGCAGAATACCTGAACTGTGCCATCAACCAGCCCAATCCACTTGACAACACTCCACCTCACAACTGTAAAGTTCCAATTGCATTTATTCCATGCTGATTCCATCACAGTTTCATTCTATCAAAAATCAACGTGGCTCTCTTTTCAGTCACAGTTGCCTCTACCCAAGTCTAGACCTCATTATCACAGAGCTGGGTTGTTTACTACTATTTATAATTTTTCTGTATGGCCCACTTACATCTAATCTCTCTATTCCAAATCACTTTACAAACCACTATTGAATTAGGTTCAAAAACAATCATGACTCCTTTATATAAAAAGGATAAAGTCAAAATTCCTAAACCTTTCATTAAAGCCCTGTGGAGGGCACCTGAGCAGGCATGAGCACACGTATGCAAACATGTGCACACGCACATGTATGCAAACGTGCACACATGCAAAACTCCCTCTACTTTCCTCTACATGCACCAGATTCATTCCTATTCCAAACCTTTGCTCATCTCTTCCTATACCTGGAATGCCCTAACCTTCATCCTTACTTACTTAAACTCCAACCTTTAGGAGCCAACACAAGCCTCTGTGATCGGTCTTAGGCCTTGGTAGTTACCTTGCTGTGAACATTCCTAATTCCTGTGATAGGTGTCCACGTTACTCATTAGATTTTTTTTTTTTTTTTTTTGGAGTTGGAGTTGGAGTCCCACTCCGTTGCCTCAGCTGGAGTGCAGTGGCACGATCTCAAGCGATTCCCCTGCCTCAGCCTCCCGGGTAGCTGGGACTACAGGTGCATGCCACCACACTCAGCTAATTGTTTGTGTTTTAGTACATAGAGACAGGGTTTCAGCATGTTGACCAGGCTGGTCTCAAATCCCTGAGCTCAGGCAATCTGCCCGCCTTGGCCTCCCAAAGTGCTGGGATTACAGGCGTGAGCCACCATGCTTGGCCTAGAATTTATAATACAATGTCTTGTATTGTTGTTTGTGGGTTGTATTTACATGCCAATTCCACAAGTTGATATAATAGTTTGGTTTGAATCCCAGTTTTGCCACTACTAGCTATTCAGTCTAAAGAAAGCTGCTCTTTTCGAGCCA